GGAAGGAAGGAAGGAAGGAAGGAAGGAAGGAAGGAAGGAAGGAAGGAAGGACCTTGATGTGGGAGGTGTTGTTTTAAGGAATGAGAAAATATTCATGGCATTACGTGAAACCTAATGCAACTCCTTTGAGTCAAATAACAGCATCTTACAGAGATTTTGAGGATGAATTGCAGACTCAGCTTTGAGGCATAGCCTTCTTAAAACTGTTGTCATTAGTTTTAAAATCTTGGACCACAGTATTGTCTCATCCTTTAGCATCTCACCAGAGTTTTCTAAGCAGCCAAATGCACACATTTCCATATCCTGCACACTAGAAGCACATTTATTCCATTAAGAGTATATCCTTGCATGGGTCAAGATAACAATGACCCATTCACAAAAGGTGAACTGAATGCTAGCGGGCTTGAAGGAAGCTTAAGTTTGTCAAATTACAAACAAACCAGTTGAAGACAAAGATGCTCGTGTTCAAGAGTGACCATAGGGGGAGAGACAAAGATGGGGGAAAGTGGAACCGGGTGGAATACTGAACTATACTCCACATTGCAAAAATGTGTTGTTGGGCCCCCATAGATTACTCTGGAAATTATATTGTGGATTTTATACACAGAAAAAAAAGGGTAGATATAATTCATAGAATGAATAAGGGAAGAAAATTGTGAACTGTGATGATCTTTCATTAGGCAGAAAGAATATTGATCTCCAGGGCATCAAGAAGTTTCATTATCCATCCAGCAGACATTTCAACAGTTGGGACTCAAGTTATTAACACCTGGAAATTGCCTAGCAACCACAAAGACCATTTTTTCCTGATAGGTTTGTCTGAAAGGGCTCCAGAGAGGCTGTCTTCCCCAGCATAATTTTATAAAGCATCTTTAAGAATTGGAAAGAATTCAGAATTTCACCCAGTGTGTGATCTTCCATCACAGAGAGGTAATAACCATGCCTCCTACAGTGTGGCATAATTACCTTATAGCTGGGAATTTCTGTAGATCCAGTTTTTCTCACTCTACATGTGATTTCACCTTCCATGCCACTTTGAAAGCTACTGCATCCCACTCTGCCTACGGGAGGGCTTCGTGGAGGAAGCTGCACCCCAGTGGACTTTTATTGGCTAGAAAGCTAATTAACGTCTCTACCAGACATCACCTCAGAGAGATATAGAATTTGTTCAAAACTGATTATTTGTATGATGGACTTGCCACGTCATTCCAGCTATTGGTGTAAAGTAACAATTCCCAGTTTTAGTACTGTATCCTTGCAGAATTACTACGGATCTTCCCATTTATATGAGGAGAGGAGAGGGGAGGGAGAGGGGAGGGGAGGAGACGGAGAGGGGAGGGGAGGAGAAGGGAGGGAGAGGGGAGGGGAGGGGAGGGGAGGGGAAAG